TGTTTTAAAAGAAAGGCAGAGCATTTCTTTTTTTTTTTTTTTTTAAGAATTTATTTATTTGAGAGAGAGAGAGAGCCCAAGAGGGGGTAGGGTTAGAGGAAGAAGCAGGCTCCCCGCTGAGCCGGGAGCCCGATGTGGGACTCAATCCCGGGACTCCGGGATCATGACCTGAGCCGAAGGCAGTCGCTTAACCAACTGAGCCACCCAGGCGCCCAAAAGGCAGAGCATTTCAGTTTATCATTTTTTATTTAAAAGAGCATGATTTGATTTACTTTCATATTTAACGTGATGGGAAAATCAAATTACGAAGTGCACGTAAGTCGGAAATTACTTTTAAAGTTTTTACAGCTAGCTAAATTTATGAAAACTTGCCATTTGTTAATACAGAGATTAATTTGGTAAGTCCAAATGAATATTATACTTTGTATTAAAGAAGCCAATATCAAAAAAGTTATTAAGTTCACAGCTTTAAAAAAAAAAAAAAGCAGCACTATTTTTAGATGAATAAGACAGACCTGAAATTCATGTCTGATCTTTGCCTTAGAAAACATCTGTTTTCTTCACTGTGTAGTTAGCCCAAATAATGAATCCTATTTTGGCTATTCTGGCCACTAAAATCACCTTTTTAACTGCTAAATTAATCATATGGCATCTTATATATTAGCAATGACACAAATTCGCTAAAGAGTTACAGGTTTAACTCAAATTAATGTACTTTCATTTCTAAGAGTATCCATTCCAAAAATCTACTTCAGAATTTTATTTGATAGAATATAAAAAGTATAGACTTAACACCAAACCTCGGAACATGTTCATTCCAAACACATTTTTATGTAATTTGTGGGCAAGTCAACTGACGCTTACTTCATTTTTTTTTTAAAGATTTTATTTATTTATTGAGAGAGAGAATGAGATAGAGAGAGCATGAGAGGGGGGAGGGTCAGAAGGAGAAGCAGACTCCCCGCTGAGCAGGGAGCCCAATGCGGGACTTGATCCCGGGACTCCAGGATCGTGACCTGAGCCGAAGGCAGTCACTTAACCAACTGAGCCACCCAGGCGCCCGATGCTTACTTCATTTTTAAATTTTATATAATAGCACAGTGGAGGTGGAGACAGAAAAAAAAAAAAGGGTACCACTCTGAACTTCACTGTGGAATATCTGGAAGAAGGTATAAAATTAAGATGACACGAGTCAGGGTTCACCATACAGTATCTGAAGGATTTATTTTAAGTCTAATGATAATCTTAAGGGTATAGAGATACTCATGTATCATGTATTAAAAACATCACAATGATTATATTCTAAAACAGTGTATGTGAAAAACCAATGTGACTGCACACTCAGGATATATTAAAAAAAACAATCTTGAATGTATATATAGAGATTAAAAAGTGTATCTGGAGATTAATAAGGGGAAGACCTCTGCGTAGGAGATAGACTGAACATAGCTGGTTATCTGTGCTTCCTTTCAATGACACTTTTGGGTTACTGCAGTCAAAAGAAAATAAAAGCAGACACCCAATATGATCAATATCTTATCCTAATTCAAATGGGCATTTCCTTTTTGTACTAAATACTTACATGAAATGATGACACAAACCCATGTATTTCTTTCTCCTCTTTTTTATTCCAAAATGGATCTATGGCAACGATCATCTAACAACCTCCTAAGTGCTTGTTTTATGAATCTGGCCCTTACTCAAGAAGTTACATTGGAAAGTCTTTTAATCTCCTTCTGAAAAGAATTTACTGGATTGCATTTAAGTTCAAGTTCAAGGGTATTAAAATGCACAAAGGAGAGTGAAAAAGGTGCTAGGTTATAGATTTTAACTTCTTAACCAGAAAACTGACTCAAAATAGATTTTCTAATTTACAATGAATCAAAAGAGAAAACATTAGACCATAGCAAAAGTGGCACAAATGTATCAAAAACCAAATGAATAAACATTTGAGGAGATTTATTATTAGAAATTGCAATAAATTTTGGAAAGATGAATTGATTTTAGTTAAAAGGTATAACTGACAATTTATTGGGCGGGAAGATGCATTATTTTCCAATTGTTATCCATCTACAGTAAAACTGATTTGTGTCCTATTGTATTTTATGGAAAAGGAGAGTGCAACTTTCAGTGATTTAGATTAAATGTATTAATCATAACCAGGCACTGTGAACTATATATCTACTATTAAAGAAGATTTTTGACATTTAATTCTGTAGCAATATTTTGGCTCTGTACCACTCTTCCTAAATCCAATTCCTGCTACAGTTGGCAGATTTCTCCCTTTTAATTTTATGAGGCTTAAAGTAGCATTTAACCACCCATGCGGTAAATAATGCGGGATTAGAAATATTTAGTGTTTTGTTTCCCTTTCAAGAGTGGTAATCCATCAAATCCAAAAATGTTCTCTAAAATTTTTCTATATTTTTGGCAATCTCTAATATATGATATCATAAAAACTATAAAATTAAATAAAATGCATTACATAGCCAGAATAGATCTGCTTTCCTAAAGAACTGCCTTAACCTGAAAGACCAGGTAGAAACCTCTTTGAACCAGAAACATGGAATCCTTACTGAAACACAAAACAAAACAAAATAAAAAATATGGATTAAAACATGATAACTGGATTAGACTCTTTTAATTTTATTCCCCCAAGTAGCAAATCTTAATGAGGGTGTGCAAATAACTTTGAAACAGCTAAACCATTTAACATCTATCTAAAACACACACTCTTGCAAGACAAGGTATTAAAGTTATATAGGAAAACAATTAGTGAACACGTAAGATGTGGTAGGTATTTGGCTAAGCACTCATAAAAGTAAAAATAAATTTTAGGTTTAGTACATATATCACGTGATGCACATTTACTCCCAACAAATAAATTTAGTAATTTTTTAAAACAAGTGAGGCACAAAACAGAAATGAACTGATTAACCTATGGAAGTTAGTATTTTACCTATCATTTTGAATAGTTCCAGAACATTTTTATATTTAACATGTGAGCTTAAAAATAATTAAAAATTTCAATTAAAAAGTATATTCTGTTATTAAATCAAAATAACCACCAGAAGTAAAACTGACTTTAAACAAAATCAAATTCCCATTTTAAATTTTAATTCACATGAAATGTTAATTTTGGTTATTAGCAAATCCAAATTATTACAACAGTCACACTGTAACTGCATGCAGTACTTTGAGATCTATCAAAGTAATAAAGTAACCTGTCAAACGAGTAATTATCTATATTTAATCTATATATAAAACAAATGGCCCAGAAATGAGTAAAGTCTGTAATTCACTCAAGACACATTGATGCCATATATTCATGGTGAGAACATCTAATTTCTTCATACATATTCATATCTTAATTCACTTTTAACAAAGTTTATGATTATGACTGTTGTGAAAACAGTGTATGTCCTAGTGTCTAAATGAAATCAAGGATTACCGACCAGCAATAAGATAATCTAAAAAGAAAGTATGTGTGTGTGTGTTTGTGGAAAAGCCCCTTCTCATATATAAAGTGTCTGCTTTGCCCTTCTTGCCCTTCACAGTGCTACACCATGGAGCTGGGGAGCTGGAAGTTATCTGTTGGGAAAAATAGGAGGAGAGAACTCATCCAGTCAGCTAGACAGCCAGCACCTCGAGGAGCATTCCAATGGATATAAAGGCATTTCAATTACAAACATAAGACAGAATATATACAATAATGTGTTAGTAATATATATAATACATGCAATTATTTGTTGAGGAAACAGGATGACTCTAAGATTTTGTTTCATCAAGGAAGAGTTAGATTACATGGTATTTCCTATAAACAGTCAACTCCAAAGGCTGGACATGTACTAGTATTTTATGAAGCTATCTGCGAAGTAGATTAGGGAAAAGTTGTGATACTAATAAATATGAAGAAGGCTAATACCAAATTTGCAGCAAGAATCAAATTATTTATTCAATACAATCAGCAACAATTTAAAAGGGTGAATTAAGAATTTGATGACAAAAATTCTTGACTCTTTCCTTGAAATGAGAACCCAATCAAATTTTGAAGAGCACAACTTTTATAAGCTGACAAGAAATTTAAGTTTCAAGTCCCATGGTATTTTCAAGTCATATCACTGTAGTTTCAGCTAAAAATACAGAAGAGAGTATAATTCCTGAAAATTTTTGTTTGTAAAAGGGTTGGAATTCAGACCTAACTCTGATCCTTCTTAAAGAAGCCAATGCTTTGAAAATCTGTGAATCCATAAAAAAAGAAAAGTTTTAAATGTCAGCAAAGACCTAGTAAGTTAAATCAACAGGTTAAATAAATCAAAGGACAGGAGAGAAAACATATAAGAAGTGGAAGAGTTGACAGAAGGAACGGACAGCATATTTATATGATGCAAACTATTACATTGAAAAACAAAACAGATAACCAATTCAACACATTCAACTTAATCAACAGAACTCAAGAACAATCTGCCCATTATATTCATGAACGTGACCAAACTACCTGACTGAAATGTATTATTTCTAGGCCATTAGGCCCAGACATTTTTTGAGAAATTAAAAACTAAGTGTAAATATATTTTTTACCCTTGAAGGGGAGGCTGTATGGCTTGATGGCTAAGTCCCTGGGGAGCTGGCCATGGGGTCAGAGTTTACATCCTGACACTACCAATTACTAGCTGTGGCCTTAAACAAGTCATTTAAGCCATTTGTCCCTGTTTCCTGGTTTATAAGAGAGGAGAATATTTACCTCAGTAGGCTTTTTTCCAACATTAAATGAATTAACATACATAAAGAGATTAAAACACCACCTGGCAAATAGTAAGAACTCAATAAATGTGAGGTAATATAATTAATAGCAATAAAATATTTGTCCTTTAATATTAGTTACATAAAAGCTGATATGAGAAATAAATTATCAATATACTAACATGAAATATTATGCAGCTGTTCAAACAAATGAATGAAAAAAAAGTATAATTTACAATCTGACTTTTTTTTGAAGATTTATTTTATTTTAGAGAAAGAGAAAGAAAGACGGGGGCAGAGATGGAGGAGGGAGAGAATTTCAAGCAGACGCCTCACTAAGTGTGGAGCCTGATGTGGGGCTTGACCCCAGAACCCTGAGATCATGACCGGAGCTGAAACCAAGAGCTGGATGCTTAACCAACTGAGCCGCCCGGGCACCGCTCTGACTTTTTAAGGTGTAAAAACCGAGATGCAGAAGAACAGATGCTGTCTTTGCACAGATGGGCATGGGAGGAATGGGGTGTAGCACAAAGACCTTCCACTGGATATTTTTTTGTCCTGGTTGACTTTTAAAACCTGTGCATCTATTACTTTTTTATAAAAATGAAAATTACAATAAAAGGACACTAGGTGAGATTTCCCAGGACCCACAACCGACTGATCATACATTTATTTTAGTTCTCTCCCAAAGCCCTACTAAAATGACATGAAAGAATAAAAAGTTAAAATTCCACTAGGGCAAAGAGAATAGGAAAGAAGATACCATCAACCGAGGTACTTCAACAAAATTATACATGAAAATCAAATGGGTGTGTGCCTGGCTGTTCAGCTTTCTTTAGTGCAAGGCGGGTGGGGAGAGGGTGGCAACAAAAAGCAAGTTGACTAAAGCAGAAGACTCCAGAAAGTTTCAGAAATTGGAGGTGCCAGATACCTCCGAAACAGGGAGTCTATTAAGGAAAAAAAAAAAAAAAGTTGATCCCCTGATTCCAATCCTTAGCCACAGTCTTATCATATTACTACTGCTACCCTATAGCACAGAAGCTCAAAATTTATCATTTAAATATGTTAAACTATAATGAACACTAGGTGTTCACATATGCAACTAAACTCTACCTCTGAAACTAATAATATATTCTATGTTAATTAATTGAATTAACATAAAATAAAATTTAAAAAAATAAAAAAAATAAAAATGTTCAACTTGAAAGGGGCCATACTGATGGTGACATGATATACCTTTACTAGGTCAGGGGGAATTCAGTGAAAGTCAGCACATTGAATGCTCCCTGTCCTCTGCTTTGCAATTAGAATGCTGGCCAGTGGACTCATCACTGTCCCACCCACCACCCTTGAGGGAGATTACTTAGTAGGAGATTATTTCCAAGGGAAGTCCCTATTGTAGCAACATTTAAGGATTCTCCAACCAAAAGGTACACAAGCCCTGCATCTGCACACTAGGCATCGAATCAGCTTTTCTTTAATGCTTTGTTAAATGAAATCCCATCCTGCCATCACATCATAAAATACATACATAAAAGGACAACATAAAAACAATGAAGAATTTAGACACTACTCTTGGTAGGAAAGGATGTTACTTAAGATTGAACTGGCTTCATAACTAGTGGTGGAAAACTCCCTAAAAAACAGACCAGTAATCTCTACCAACATTCTCAAAATTATTAAGCACATCCTATGTGCCTGAGCTGGATTCCCGTCACGGGGCTGCTAAATGTACTTACCGGGTATAATGCAAACATAAGCAGAAGAATAAAGAATAAAACAGAGACAGGAGGGGCAATGCCACTTCAGAAGATGGAATGGTCTCTCAAATGTGAAGAGTTGGAGGTTTTGAAGAAAAGGTGAAGAATGTGAACTGTTCCTTGAAGGGTATGAATCTAACAGTAAGGAGAGGGACGTACTGCTATGAGCAAAGCTATAGTATGAATGGATGTGGCTGATCAGGGGAAAGCTGAAGGAGGCGTGGGCGCGTTGAGAACGTAAGACCATCTGGGAAGGAGTGAAGTGTTACAGTTCCTAGGTGAGCGGTGAAGGTAAAAGGAACAAACCTAGATTTTATGATTAAGGCAGTGAAAACTATTTTTTGGCTTGGGCTTAACCATGTTTTAAAAATGTGTATTTGGAGTTACATGTGATACAGATCAGGGGAAGGAAAACTAGAAGACAGACCAGGGACAAACCTAATGTGTTATCAAAATGTAAGGTTATGAGTAACTACCCTAAGGCACTGAAATGAAGGGGCTAACAGGAGAGATAAAGAAATAAGATTCAGACATGTCTAGATGTGGAAAGAGTGAAGGAATAAAGAGAACACATAAACTAAAATTTGAATTGAAGAATGAAAAACCACTAGGGATCAACGCTTCCCTTAACCAATGTTAGGTCTCCCCTCTCTGTCTCTTTCCCAGTTAATTTTTATTAACCAAACTGTAAGGTACTGAGGCTACAGGCATATCTTACTCATTTTTGTATTCCTGGCCTTTCCCACAACAAAGACATCACTAGCCTGTGTGTACAACTGAACCAAGAAATGTGTGGCTGAAAACACACAGGCAAGACACTGAGTTTCTGAGTCAGATGAAACATACTTATTTATTCATCCAACAAATGATATAAGACACTGTTTTTTTTTTTTTTAAGATTTTATTTATTTATTTGAGAGAGAGAGAATGAGAGACAGAGAGCATGAGAGGGGGGAGGGTCAGAGGGAGAAGCAGACTCCCTGCGGAGCAGGGAGCCCGATGCGGGACTCGATCCAGGGACTCCAGGATCATGACCTGAGCCGAAGGCAGTCACTTAACCAACTGAGCCACCCAGGCGCCCTGATATAAGACACTCTTATAAAATGTTTTTGTGGATCAAAAAATTAGAAAAGTCTATCAAAAACACAAGTAAATGAAATGGAATGGGAGGAAGCCTAAGTAATAATTGTTTACTTTTTAAAGACTGTAGATTCTAAAGAAGTACTTTTAGACTACAGACTTCAAAATCTATACAAATCTGAAAGTCCTCAAAAAGACCAAGTGCATGCTATTAAATATTACTACAATTCTACTGTAACCTAAAGATAAATGCACCTGCAATGCTATAATGGTGAACTGTCTATAACCAATGACCAGATTTAAATACGAAGTTCTAAGAGGAAGATGCTATATTGGGGATGGCTCAAGTCATCGCTTCTTTTTTTTTTTTTTTAAAGATTTTATTTATTTATTCATGAGAGACAGAGAGAGAGAAGCAGAGGGAGAAGCAGGCTCCCCGCTGAGCAGGGAGCCCGATGCGGGACTCGATCCAAGGATCCTGGGATCATGACCTGAGCCGAAGTCAGACGCTCAACCATCTGAGCCACCCAGGTGCCCCAAGTCATCGCTTCTTTTGTATCCAAAGAGATGATGAAACTTCTACTTTATTTCCTCAAGAAGCACTGGTCAATGTTTTAGACAACTGTCATTTAACAACAAACATTTTATAGGTTTTACTGGCTTAAAATATTTATAAATACTTTTGGCCTGCATCTCTGGTTTATCAGAATCCTGTTGCCTGCATGACAGGCAACAAATAACTGCTTGGCATTTTCTAACTGTTGTACAGGGAACCCCTTTTATTTATATGACTTCTTTGTGAATTCTCAGTTGTTCAAATTGACCTTCAGTTGGAGGATTTGCAGGTGACTTCAATATAGAAAGCGCTTGTTAAATATTTTTTTTTTTTTTAAAGATTTTATTTATTTATTTGACAGAGAGAGACACAGCGAGAGAGGGAACACAAGTAGGGGGAGTGGGAGAGGGAGAAGCAGGCTTCCCGCGGAGCAGGGAGCCCGATGCGGGGCTCGATCCCAGGACCCTGGGATCATGACCTGAGCTGAAGGCAGACGCTTAACCGACTGAGCCACCCAGGTGCCCCGCTTGTTAAATATTTTTTTTGGAAGTGTTCTACCCATCATTGATTTTGAATTTTTCTGATATTAGATATCTGACATAGCTGAAGGCAAATTAGAAAACTGAGTTTTATAGACCATCAGAATTAATTCTATCAGCAACATAAAAAGCAGAAAACCAAAGTTGAAGCTTTGAAGAAAGTGAAATGTTTGCAACATTTCTGATTCTCCGATTCTGACTAAAAGACATATGGAAAGAAAGAAAGAAAGAAAGAAAAGAAAGAAAGAGAGAAAAAGAAAGAACAAAACTAATGGGGACTCCAGCAATGTCACCACCATTTTAAAGAGCAACAAGGAAGGAGGGGTATTGAGTCTCCATCTGTGGAATCAAAGGGTTACCAATCAGCAGTCTTAATTTCTAAAGAAAAAACATTTTAGAACATTATTTCAAAGGTTTCTCAGGATACAAGAGAGTAATTTAAAATGATAAACATAATCCTGACACTTTCTAAAAACCTCAAATGTTTGCTTTTAAGGAGATTCAAAAAAAACCTCAATCTTTAAACAAGCCATTTTTCTTTACTAACAACATGATAACCTAAGAACTTACACACAAATGGCAAAATGAAAAAAGATTTTAAAAAAGAAAGCGTGGCAGTTCATGTATTTTTAAAAACGTAATAGAAAGACTATTGCCGTGCACGATATTTAAGTGGCCACAAAGGCAGAACTACTACATCACAATATTAAATCTCAAAACAGACATCACGATTAAAACCAAAGAAGAAAACCAAACACTATATAAATATTTGGCACCTGTAAACTTTCTTTTAATAAAAAAAATTCAAAAGCATCAATAGTACTATTGTTCTTTGTAAACAAAAATGACATTCTTTTGTAATGTATATGCCTACCTACAGTGACATTTAAAAACTGCCATTCAGTCTGGTCAGGAAACAGCAGAAACCTCTAGGACCTACACCAACTTCTTGAATAAACGGGTTTCAGTAATGCACACTCTTGTTTCTTATCCCAGGTTGTTATAAGAGGGATGAGAAGAAAGCACTAGATTAGCCAAGGCTGAAAATTATTCCAGCCTGCAAATCATATTACCTCCAATCACCTTCATGTTCTGTAATTGTGTCACATCACCCTGTTGAATCTTCTCCATGGCCATTTCTATTTACTTACTCACCCTCCTCCCCCAACCAAGCTTATTTTTACTGATTAAAATATAAGTTCCTGGAACCTTTCTGCCTTGCTACTTTAACCCCCAAGGCCTAGAACAGTATCTAGCACACAGTAGAGACTCAATAAATATATTTTGCATTAATGGATACTACTCAAAAGTCAATCAGATTATTGAGTCCAATAAAATATAGCGGTTCAGTCTACCCTGGATCCCATCTACTAGGGGACAGGGACAGACCGTAGATCCCTAATCTTATAACCACCCAATGTACCCTCTATACTGCTATTCATGTGATCTCTCAAGACAAATCTGATTACCTTAACCATCCCTCCCCCCCAAGAGATTACATCAGTTTGCATGCATTCCCATGGAATGCATATTGTATTATATTATATTATATTATAACATATCTGTACTATCAAATATGTATCTATTCCACTTTTAATAAAGTGTAATACAATGAGACTAAATATCAATATTAATATTGATACTACTTTTAGTGGAACAGAGTCTGAAATGATCTAATTCCAGTCTACCTCACCAAACAAACCCTGTCTACCATACACTCCTCTACACAAGCATATCTTATATATACTTCAGCAACACTGGATTCAGTTTCCTGAATATTCCATGTGGTTTTAAACTTAAGCCTTGCCCATCCATTCCTGTCTGCCAATTCCCTCCCCAGTGAGTTGGTAAGCTAACTCACACCTGAAGTCCCAGCTAACAAATCTTCCTCCTGTATGAAGTCTACCCAAGTTCCATTAAAAAGGGGTAGGAAAGGGACATCCGGGTGGCTCAGTTGGTTAAGCGGCTGCCTTCAACCCGGGTCATGACCCCAGAGAACGGGATTGAGTCCAGCATTGGGCTCCCTGCTCAGCGGGGAGTCTGCTTCTCCCTCTGACCCTGCCCCCTCTTGTGCTCTCTCACTCTCTCTCAAATGAATGAATAAAATCTTAAAAAAAAAAAAAGGGGGGGTGTAGGAAAAGAGCAGTGCAAGAGAAATACAGAGGCTATCATCATGGTTGAAACAGACATGTGACAGCTCCTAGATACATTGTACGGACTTGGAGAGATAATGAGGGACCATGGAGGGTAAGCAGAGAAAACAGAAACACAGCAAGAAAGCAGACCAGAATTGGACGATGTTAAAGATCAAGAACAAGGTACTATATACTACCTGAGAAACAAAGAAAAGGACTGGAATGGAGGATTTGGTTCCAGTTATTAATCCGATGGAAAACAGTAAAACATTTTAATTATCATTTTTATTATGGCACACAACTTGATTGTGCTCATTCTTCAAGATAGCAAAGAATGCTGCAGATTTTTCAAAATAACTCACACTTCCAATTGCATTTGGTAACCAGGAATGAAGACTATTTTATGAAGAAAATTTATTTATATTTCTCAGCAACATGACAACAGAGTGAAGAAACTTCCAGATTTCATTAATTTTGGCATAGCAAAGGAAAAACAAATTTGAAAGTGTTTAAGTTGTAAATGTTAATAGGACTAAATGAATTAAAATATATAACTATAATTTAGAAAAGTGTCTGGCACATAGTAAGCATCATTGTAAGTCATTACTAACACTCTCTTTGCTAGGTTCCAGTATTTCTGGAGTATCACAAACCCAAATGACAATATAAGAAACCAGGCCAAATCTAGTGGTAAGTAATCAGAAAAGCAGGGACAAATATTTTAAATAGGTAGATAAAAAGTGTAAGTGGTCAAATTTGGCATTATTAAAATACCAAGATTGAACATGTTTATGTATTCTTTCCTAAAGGATTTTAAAAGCTAAATATGGACAAAAGAATAAGCATTCAAATACTTGTTGAATGAATAATATAACATATATATACTATCAAATATATATATATTCCACTTTTAATAAAGTGTAATACAATGACTAAATACCAATATTAATATTGATACTACTTTTAGCGGAACAGAATGAAAAACTATTAGATTCAAATTTTCAAATATCAATTATAGGTATTAAATTTATATGTAAAATGTAAAGTGAATAATGACACCAAAATAGAGAATTTTAAATCAAACAAGAGACACTATCAAAATGTCTTCTGTAGAAGAAATATTTATTACAATTCTACTAAGCAGTACTTCCGTATGATACAAAATCTACTTTATCTCAAAATAAGTTCTAAGAAATAAAGTATTAATTTCCAGCATGAAATCTGGATCTCAAGCTGACTTTGAGATAAGATAAAAACTAAATTATTAACAAACATAGTAACAGATTAGAATATATGTGATATATATTTAGAATAAGAAAATTCTAAATATATATTCTTCTTGGATTCTGCAAAGTAGCCAAAAATGCTTTGAGGATATAAACAAATATCAATTCACAGAGAGTATAATTAAGCATTTAGTTACTGAATTCCACTGAAAAATATCAGATAGTTAGCACATGGTCAGATTACAGTTGAGGACACACAAAATCATTTTAGATTTGTTTTCTATTATAAAATTTCTTAGACTAGCCTAAGAGAAAAGTTTATGTAGTTCCCCTATTTAAATCAAATCCATTTAAAAGGGCCCTTCTGTTGTAAAAGGCTGTAAATCAGACTAAATATTCCCACTCTAGGATCCTAAGAAACAATAAAACAGAGGTTGAGCAAGACAGAGTAAATCATTATAGAACCATTACCATTATCAATATGCCACTCATGAAATCTGGTTTGGTCTTCCATGATATACTTCAGAGAAAGAAAATATATACAATATTCCCTTCTCTTACACAATGAAATGACTCAAGATTCTAAACAGATATAAATTATTTTGAGGGTGGATATAACAGTATGCTTACTTGTACAGCATGACAATTTAGATTAAGGGTTGATGTTCACATTTTTTTCAGATATTTAAATTGAGAAACACATGTAAATAAATAGTCCCTTAAATCAGATTCATTTTCTTTGACAGAATAACCACCACCATCACCACTATACTTGTTCTCATTTCATCTATACAAAAAGCTGGACTGAAATGATGATAAGATTTTTAAACAGAACCTTACAACCTTTAGGTACAATTCCTTATGTAATATTAATATTGGATTTTAGGTACTATATTTTAAATGGAGTCATTTATTTCCTGATCTTTCAATAACCACTCAATTTGAATGCTAACTTAGAAAAATGTAAAAAAAAAAAAAAAAATGTAACACCTGTTCTAAGACCATCAGTTTAAAAACTTTTTTTTTCAAAAATCTCTTGTCTATAGAGAACAATGATTAATTAAGATGCTCAGGGGTAGGATACCTTGGCTAACTGAAATGCTATGCCTAAGTCAGGGTAATTGAATTCACTTTATTAATGCTATATCCCAAAATATATATCTCTGATGGATCATTATTCTGAGGATTATTCACTCTGAATTGTACTTGATGAAAAAATTCTGGAAATACAGGAGATTCACCCTGCATCTTCTGGATAATGGTCTCAGAATATTCCTCAGAATTAATTTTCATTTGCTTAATTCTCCTAAAAGAGGTAAATATTAGAGGCTTGTTAGCAGGGCTCCAATAAATCAGTGCTTTAATCTAACAGAAGTACAGCAATAGTTATTTCTTTCAACATTAAATTCTCAAAACTGTTACTACATTCGCCCGTCATGTATATGGGCAAATTATTTTTAAAAATCATGTAACTCTGGTCCAAAACCTCCTAAACAGTATAAGTCTTTCTGCAAATGAATGGCCTAATGATTGAAACTTAGTTAGGGAGAGTTATTTAGAACAGTTTTTTAATCTGCAATTAGGGTTTGAGATTTAATGCAGTGGCTGTTGATCTAAAATTCACCTGAAATTATTCTTCACAGACTATTAAAGACAAAGGCTGGCTCAAAGGTTGCAATATAAAGTACTTTAAATATTAAATATAAAGGCATATCATATATAAAGTATGAAAAGTTTAAAATATTTTGCATTTTGACCCATAATACAAATGTCCTCTAAATCATGAGATTCTGTATTTAGTATACCTAATAATAACAACAGTAACTATCATTTATTAAATATATATTATGCGACGAAATTGTTCTGGACCTATGATGTACAAATAACCTCATTTAATCCTGACAACACTTCCGCAAATTAAATATTGTCTCTATTTAACAGAAAGAGAAGATGAGGTTCAATTTGTCTTTAAAAGTAAAAAGAAGAACCAGAGTGGGGATTCACCAAGTTCAGACTCCAAAACCTCTAACTTTTCTGTAATACCACTTTGTCCTTGACAAAACTAAATAGAGTCAATCCTCATTACCATTTGAGAGTTCTACATGTACAAATTTGCCTACTCACTAACATATATCTGTAGCCCCAAATCAATTCTCTTTTTTAAAATTTTATTTTTAAGTCATCTCTCTACCCAACGTGGGGCTCGAACTTACACCCCCAAGATTAAGAGTCGCACGCTCCACCGACTGAGCCAGCCAGACGCCCCACTCTCAAGTCAGTTCTTGTAGCACTTCTAGGGTCATTCAGGAGCACTGAAAAATTTGTCCCCTGGTGCATGTGTGCATTCCCCACTGAGGTAAAAAAAGACAACAGTACCCATTCCTGTTTCAGCTCTAACTCTGTACACAAGTGTTGTTTTTGTGGTTTATTTGGTGCCCCATTTTTCAATTTTGTGTTTTTTGCAATTCATTGTTTTAAATGAACCCCAAGCACAGGGCTGAAGTGCTGACATGGGTTCCTAAGCATAAGAAGGCCATGACGTGCCTTGAGGAGAAATACACGCATTAGATCAGCTTGTTCAGGCATGGGTTATAGTGCTGTTGGTCATGAGTTCAATGTTAATGAATCAACTATATATATTAAGTAAGGTGTTTCTAGACACAAAGATACGTAAAACAAGGTTATGTATTGATCGACTGATAAAAATGTCATGACCGGAGGCTCACAGGAACCTAACCTGGTATTTCCCTTAGGAGCAATGGTTCAGTATTTGCTAATTAGTGTTCAGGGCGACTTTAGAGAACATAACTATGGTGAATAATGAACAATCCAATTGAAAACTTTTCCCCCAAGAATGTTCCCATTAATATTTCAGTGAAAGACTCTTCAGTCATTTCTGTCAGAGGTCATGACTAGCTGTGCAGTCACCACTCATCTGCATAAGAGAAAGAAACCTCTCGCTGCCATTCTGTTTCATGGGTGTAGCTACATGTGTCTGCCTTTGCTCAGAAAATTAATCTCTCTTCAAAGCAATCTGGCTTTCCAGTGTGAAAGTCTGAGGAATTAAATTTAATTCTTATTTCTGGATGTCATGGGTACTGTTTAAATATGACTATTTTGTGAGATTATGATTTTTAAGACTAGACTGTTACATACAATATGGACAGCATGAGAACAACAACAACAACAAAACTTAGCAGAAGAATTTAAAAATACCAGCACAAATTGGAACTCTTACCTTTCTTGTCCAAGTCAGATATTTTATTGAAAAAAAAAAGATTACAGTACTTAAAAATCCAAACAAGGACAATTCAGGATTGAAAGAAAGAAAACCTGAAGGAGCCCATTGTCTTCAGTAAAATTTGAATACAAAAAAATGTAGACCAGGAAAACAGTTTATGGCCTAATGCACTTGTTCCATGATAAACACACATATATAGTATTTCTCCATCAAGTGAAACTTAATCACCTTTTTACAATTTAGAGAGGGAAGGCAGCTTTTACTATGGTTAAGCCATGTATCATCAATACCATGAAGCTAGCCTATCAGATGTAATAGCTTCTATAAAATACCACAGTGAGATTGCAATAAGCCTAGAAAATGGGCTACAAATCCCAGCTATGCTCAAGCAAGCAGTGAACCAAAAATAAAAATAGGTAAAACTGAACCAAGAACTAGATAGCATTCATCTAGATTCATGATTGGTAAGGCAAAGTTCATAGGCCAAGGTTTTAAAGTGACTTATTCAGGTCTAAAAGGCAGTCATTATACAAAATAAAATAAAAGCATTTATGTAATTCAGAAAAAAAATCACGAATTTTTACTCTAAAGGACATAGCACAAAAAAAGCTTACTTACAATGACCAAACACCACATTATTGTACCTCTAAAATATCACTTTAAATATGCAAAGGTAAAGATACTCGAAGTTGCACTTTATCATATTTAATCTCTCTAGTTTAGACAAGCAATCTAAAAGATGTCACACGCTTTCTGCTTAATACATTTTCTGAAATCTTTCAGACTGTAATACCTTTAGGTAAAAGAAATGTCAACTTTAAGTTTCTTTCCCAATCACCATATTTAAGTTAGCCATTAAATGCTGAATTAACAATTAATCCATACAACAATATAAAAATACATGTATTAAATCACAGTTTTCATCAATTATTGGAACGTAATAAAAAATACTCAACATTTTAACATGCCATTTTGAAGAATTCAAATGGCCTGAATGTTGTAGAATGTCTAAATTGTACCATCAATAGAAATGTTACATTTTCCCCTCTGCTTGTGAAAATGAGCTCATGCAAGTATTTCTGACACTCACAGTGACACATATGGTCTGCCAAGGGTGTGCAAGCAGCTCTCACTTTTAAACATGACAATATGATTCAGAGGCATACAGTATTATTTGAAATACCAGCTTTCACATGATTTCCAGAAGCTCTAAGCCAAAATGATGATTTTGAGTGGTTGCAGGTATCAGACAGAGCAGGTAATTTAAAAAGTAATAATAAATTATTCTACTAGCACAGACTAGTTATCACTGTAGTTAGCTTAAAACTAGGATGATTTTTTTTTGTAGTACAATGAACACTATACTATAAAATACAATGGGTTTGCAATACAGAGCAGATTTTCCAAGTAGAAAGCAAACTGAACAAAACAGAAATTCTAGTAAAGATTATCAACCTTACCTACTACTCATCTTAGCCCTTGTTAAAATACCCTGAGTAAAATGCAAATATTTTAAATAATGCTGGTTATATAAGACTTCTCTAAAAATGAGCCATAAATGTCAATGCATCATGTTTATTTACAACAGTCAGAGATGTAAAAATTAGTTCTTAACCAGTCACAATATAAACATTAAGGAATACTTGTGTGAGATCTGGAAGTTTTCCATTTTTTAGGTTTTGTTAGTATTTTGGCAAAGCAAGTAATACATAAATGGGTTCAATGTAAAAAAAAATCATAAAAGAGAAAAATATATAAAATTTACAGTAGTTCTACCCACCCTGGGCCAACCTAGATCCCTAAAAAGCCTCCCCAACCAGGTTCACTTCTGACTAAAGGAAGAATACCAGTCCTCCACAGCAAAAACAGCCCCATCTTTTCATCAAAGAGGCTCTCACTTCAGTGATATTCCTCCAGGGGAAGAGGACAGGAGCCAGGTTCCCTCGAATGTCATTCCCCAGATGTTCAAAACGTAACTAATTTATTAGCATTAGAAGATTTGGTTTATAGGGGAATCTCACTGGTCCAGTTTGTAGCCTACAAAAAAATGGATTATTTTTAAGTATAACATTAGAATATGAATAAAGGATGAGGATGTGGCTTTTTATTCCATAGAAATGGAAACATTTCCAAACATGACAATTAAACAAAAAAGCATGCCTACCATTGAAGTTGTGGTCCCTCCTGATTTTTTAAAGTTCTTGGAAGGCATTCCATGAAGGCGACTGAGTCTAGCTTGGAAACCTGGAAAATCAAAGTCCTCAATTTAGGAGATTCTATGATCACTGTTCCTATCAATACAGAATTCAAAATAAGTCGGAGGTAGGAAACGTCTTATATATATAGTAGTGGGGAAAATGCAAAACACACTTAAAAGATCTGAAGCAATGCCTAGTAGTGTTCTAATGAGCTTAGCACACAACCACTGATTATTTAAGATTTATGGTATTATTCAATAGGGCTTTTCTTTCCTCCTAATTTACCTTTCTAACATTTCAACATTTTCACACTGGTCCTAGCAAGGAGGCAAGTCAATCTTTCTAATAATTAGAATGCATGATTAATGTAGTAGCTGAAATACTGTTTGACATGTGTCTTTATAGCATCTTGTGTTTAGACACTTTCATTTCCATTTTAGCCTATCCTCTTTTAATGGTTATTCCTAGATTCACTATAAGCCCACCATATTCAGCAGTCAGCAAGTGCTACTGACCTCTTCTTCCCGGATGTGACATAAGAGGGAAAGAACCAGTTAAGATACTTTCAAAGACAGGATCTGGTAAATTTTTGTCTAGCTCGGTAGGGTCCTCCTTGTCCCACCAGGGCACAATTCCAGTGATGCCGCACGCTCCACCTGATTCCTTCTCATAAAACCAGTCACTCTGCTCATCATCACCTGTGCAAATACAAGAAATCCCCCAAAGACTGTTTTATTATCCAAATACACAGAGTTATCAGATTTAGGTTTAAAGAATGCAAGACAGCAATTAAATCTGAATTCCAGAGAAATGATTTTTCATATAAATATATAGTACCTGCACAAAATTTTTAGTATGTCTAAATACTGAATGGGACACACTTATATTAAAAAATTATTTGTTATATACCTAAAAATCAAATTTAACGGGGGATCCTGTATTTTACCTGGTAATCATTTACATAATCAATACAGAAAACTTCTCATTTTATACCATGGCTTCATTAAAATGTTTTTTAACCCTACAACAAGAACTGCCAACATAAGCTGGTATGTTTTAGAACCAATTAAAAAATGTGAAAAACAATAATACAGGTTAATTCTAGGGCAAAAACTATAGAGAAATCCATTTAAGTTACTACCCTTTCCAAATTAAAGAAAAACAAGCCTTAATCTCCTACAGTGAATTTAAAGTATAAAACTGTAGAACCTGTTCTCTGCAGCTGATAATGGTATATAATTAGCTTAATTTCATGATTTGTATGGAGTGTAAAAGGGGAAATGATTATGAACAGATGTGACTAAATGAAATTAATCTGATTAAGTTCATTAAGAAATAGTTGTGAAAAAGTTGATTTTAAATGAAAAGTGACAATACCACAGAGTTTACAAAGAAACTATTACTGGACTATGACAAGCAAGGTATTTTTAAGACAGAACACTATCCATAGTAAGGTGGACTTTTGGGAACACCCACGAGTGTAACCATGGAGAAACGATCCATTTAAAATTCAGTTTAAAATGTACTGAAAAGAAAATGTGAATCAACAGTATTTTGTTTTTAAAACAGGAACAAGGGCAAAAAATACAGAAGAAGGCAGATGGCTTTTAAAAATAGGTGGCAAATAGTTTTTTGAATATGATCCTAGATTCACTCAAGTCTTCATGATTCTTAGAAAAATTAATTCTGGTTTTTAAGAGGGTCATCACAACTGCCATAAAGTTTTTCCCTTTACAGAAAGAGATTTCTGATTTCCAAAATCTCTTAGTACAAGTATTTTTTAAAAGCAAACTAGGACAAAAACAAAGCTTCAACTGAAAATGACTTTACGAGAAACAGCCATACCTCAAATTACGAGCGAGTGAAGTTTAAAGCATTTGGAAAAGCAACGCCACCAGTTTATTTCAATTGAGGATTTAATAAAAATTAATTTAAAAAAGGCACATTTCAAAGCACATAAATATTAGTACTTTTACTGAGAATTATATTAACATTTCCTAGAACAGGTATAGGTACAAGAAAAGAAAGGGAGTCACTTGAAACTAATTACCTTTCATCTTGATTCCAACTGAAACAATGTTATTATACAAAAATGAGGTTATTTTATTTTTGATGTGATACACAACCTTGTTCTTAGCAGGGAAATCAAATAGCTAAAGATTAAGAACTTGAGCTCTGAAGTCAGTCAGACCAATTAGAATTGCAGTGTTATGTGACATTGGGGAAGGTATCTCGACTCTATGAGCCTAAGTTTCATCATACCTCCCAAAAAAGAATCTCCCAGGGTTTTCTTAAGAATAATATAAAAACCTAAAGTAAACTGAATGAAAAAAGCACTTAGAAATGTAAAATATAATAAGCTCATAATAAATGCTAGCATATTATTTTAAACCATTCAAAGCTTTTCAAAGGTGGACAGACTTGTCCAAAAGTTATTTTTTTTAAGTTTTTTTGGGGGCGCCTAGGTGGTTCAGTCGTTAAGCAACTGCCTTCGGCTCAGGTCATGATCTCAGGGTCCTGGGGAAAGCCCCGCATCGGGCTCCCTGCTCCGAGGGAAGCCTGCTTCTCCCTCTCCCACTCCCCCTGCTTGTGTTCCCTCTCTTGCTGTGTCTCTCTGTCAAATAAATAATTTTTTCATTTCCTTTCATTACCAAATGCAACATTTACAAAAACTGAGTAGACACATGTATTTAAATGAGAATTTAGGTATATTATCAAGGTAGTCAAACTCACTCTGAGCCCCGAGGTTCTAGCACATTTCAGCAAACTCTCTTAACTTTAAAAAGTCTATGGTCTTTAAAGCAGTATGTACCTATTTATCTGGAATATCTATGCGCTTGTAAGTAAGCCAAAATGAATGATCAATTCATTTTATTCCGACCAAGAGGAATGAACAGACTAAGAAAAAAATGCCTAGGTAGCTATTATTTTCTTCTTTTTTCCTATCCATAGACTATTTATAATTTAAAACAATAAATTTGGGGTCTTTTTTCTATCCCTAAGAACTTACTGCTTTCCTCTAAAGATTCTCAAGAAAGGCAGATAACATTTGCAGGTATGCCTCCTGCCCTCTGAAGGTTTCTCCTGTTTTCTTCCCAAATAGGTGTTTTCAAACTAATGCCATGTGAACGTGTGAAAAGCTTCAGGGATCTTTAAAGATGTAAAAGACCTAAGTTGTAAGACATGACTGTTTTAACAGTTCACAATATTGAATTCATGGAAACTGTCTAATTACTTACAAACTAGGGAGGATGAATAAATGTCACAGCTGAATAAAAATGACAAATGACTTGCAAATCCACCTTTACTAATGCTTAAACAGTATTAAATACATTCGGAATCAGGCAGAGAATGAGAACCAGTGTCTTGTGAACTTGCTAAGAGATAAAACTGTAAAGACTGAGGTATGTAAAGCTTTCTTAAGGAAGATAATCCTCCCTTAATATTATTAGCTCCACATGCTAGCTTTTGGAGATAATCAATTACTTTAGGGGTCATGAAGACAGGATACCGTTCATAGTATAAAAAGAACTAAACCCCAGTCCACTAAGTAGGTGTGTGTAAGTTAAATGGGTTGCCATCATCAACTTAAGAAATAACTAGTAATAAGCACAACTTTAAAATGAAGACGTTTTTCCAAAGGAATAAAAAAATAGCATTTCAGTACCTTGTCTTCCCTCATCATTGGTAAATAAGCCAGCATCAGTGCTGCTGAGACTGCTGGAATCACTGTAATAAGGGAAAAGGAAAAAAAAAAAAACAACAAAAAAACAGATCAAAAGAACAATTGATCTCTCAGTCGTAAAATTTTAAAGAGACATGGCAGCTCAGAGATGAAACTTAAGCCTGACAAAGATCTGAAAGAAAAGATGATTTTTTTTTAATCAAACTGCAAATATTCTGGTTCCATTAACTACAGAGCATATTATTTTTGGCACATAAAACCACAGGAATCTAATGGGACCCTGACAGTAAGCCAGATGTGACTGCAACGAGGTGCTGACACAATTGATGTATTTTATTATCTGCTTTCATCAAATGCTCACTGCTCCTTTCTTACGCCGTGCAATTCAGCCTGAGCCCGGAACACCACTGCTCAATAAAATGGGGAAAGTCTCAATCAAAAGCAGGCTAAGCCTTTCTTCAGCATATGAAATACAAGGGCCCAAGATGAAATTACTTTTCATGACCACATTTGCAAATATTCCAGAAAAGACATTACTTAAGAATGCACAACAACTCTATTACCTGGCAAGGAAGAAAAAAGTTTACAATGGTAACAATCCATTAAATCAAAGTTAAAATCTCTCTGAGCAAAAACAGCAAAATACGGAATATTGCCAATAATATTAAGGAGAGTATATGTAAAAATAACAGGTTCTCCTACTTCCATAGAAGTTCGAGTGTGATACAAAGTCCTATTTCACATACAAATTAAAACAAATAGGAGATATTCGACTGACATGAACTGTCACTATTAGTTCTAATAGAAGCCATGCTTATATGAAAATCTAGTTAGTTAAAAAAACCACAAAAAAGCAGATCATGTAGTAAAGGCTTGGCCTCTAAAGAAAATTGATAATGTTCTTTAAAAATTCTCATATACTCTTCTTCCTGTAATTCTTAATTTTAACCAATCAGGAAGTTGCCCCAGGAGAATTTTATAATACTTTTCCCGTTAACATGTACAACCCTATAACCTGACTTACTAAACAAAACTAATCTGTTTAAAAAAATTAATCTGTGGGGAGCCTGGGTGGCTCAGTCGTTAAGCATCTGCTTTCAGCTCAGGTCATGATCCCAGGGTCCTGGAATTGAGCCCCACATCGGGCTCCCTGCTTCACGGGAGGCCTGCTTCTCCCTCTCCCACTCCTCCTTGCTTATGTTCCCTCTCTCACTGTCTCTATCAAATAAATAGACAAAATCTTCAAAAAAATTAATCCGTTTTAAAAATATTTAAATTGAGAGTTTAGGATTAAAATTATAGATGAGATCTAAATCCCTAATGTTTTCTTTTTTTTTAAATTTTTTTGTTAACATATAATGTATTATTTGTTTCAGGGGCACAGGTCTGTGATTCATCAGTCTTACACAATTCAGTGCTCACCATAGTACATACTAAATCCCTATGTTTTCTGAATATAGAATATCATTTCAATTATTTGATTTTTAAAAAATAAAAAAGTATAAGGATTTATTAAATGGTACATTTCCCCTAGGAACTCTACGTTAGTCCATTTTTCTTTAACTTTCTTCATGTTAGGAGAATATATAAAGCTCCCTATACTGCACAAGTGTTAATTAAAGAATACTTTCTTAGACAATCACATCCATAATTTCTTATTTACAAATGCACATGCTCTCCTATGTACAGTGATGTCTGAGTATTAAAAACACTTTGGAAACTTCATCATTTTGCTATTCAGCTGTCCAAACTACTGTTGATTTTTATTTTTTTTCTCTTCTGTGATTGCGTAGTGCTTTCTTGTTTGCCTGTATCAACACAACCCTAACACAGGGCCTTATCCTACACACCTTGAGTCACAATTCTTGTTCTGAAATCCTTGAGGCAACATGTATTTAAAGTTCACAATTTTTCAAATTTTGGAAAGATATGTTCTAAAATGCCTAATAGGGGTCTGGGGTAGAACTCCAGAATCAAACCTATTAATATATTTTTTCAAATAAATGAATGAATATCCACATTAAATCCAGGTCAAGCTAGGTCTGGCCACAAATGAGTTAGTTTTTCACAGCTTTCAGAATTCAGATTTATAGATAAAGGACTGTGAGATGTGAAACTATGTGCTCTTTTTCTGGGGGGGGGGGGTACAATGGATTTCTAATTTCTGAGTTCAGATTTACCTCTTTTAATATGCTACATACAACCAGGCTCATTGTTTACAAATATAACTTGCTGACTAAAAATATTATGACATCTTGGATGGGATCCTGGAACAGAAAAAGGACATTAAAGAAAAACAAGGAAATTCTAATAAAGTACTGACTTTTGTTAATAATGCATCAACATTGGCTTATTAATTCTGACAAGTGTATCAGAATAATGTATGACATTAACAGCAGGGGAAACTGGGTACAGGATAGATGGGAACAGGATATACAGAAAATCTCTGCACTATCTTTGCAACTTTTCTATAAATCCAAAAGTATTCTAAAAGGAAAAGTTTATAAAACATGCATGTATCTATGCATATATATATAAATTAAATAAAATAATAAAATGTTTTCTATTAAAAATCTAAAATTACTTCCCCATACTTGTTGGATTAAATGTGGATTTCAAGGCTCTGTATGGATGAGCCCTACCTAAATTCTTCCCATCTCCATCTCTGGTCCTTTTATTTATGTTCTTTTTCCAACTCGTATCCCAATCTTCTCTCTCTTCTCTTTTTTTCTGAAGATTTTATTTAAATTCAAGTTAGTTAACATATAGCGTATTTTTAGCTTTAGGGTTAGAATTTAGTAATTCATCAGTTGCATATAACACCCAGTGCTCATTACACTGAGTGCCCTCCTTAATGCCCATTACCCAATTATCCCCCACCCTACTTCTTCTCCAGCAACCCTGTTTGTTTCCTATATTTAAGAGTCTCTTATGGTCTGCCTCCCTCTCTGTCTTTATCTTATTTACTCTTCTTAAAGATAGAAGGAAATCAGACTCCCCCCTAAGAGCAGCTTAGTCCCTAACAATCCTTGTCTTCATTTGGGATCTTTTTACACGTGTTTTAAACAATATGTTTCCTTATTTATATTTCACTTCATTGACATCTAGCTAGTTGCTCCAAGTACATCATGTAGTTGTTAGCATGTTCAATAAATCAGAACAAGAACTTCTAATGAAGCAAGGTTTTTCATTTTCAGCATCTGACAGCCATTATGGCTTATCTCCAAGGACACCTCTTCCCATTTTTTTTAGCATGATATATTCCACAAATGGCTGTCAAATTAATGTTTGTACAGCAATCCCAATCCTCTGCCCCAATCTGTTCATTTCCTGTATTTTTTATTCTTGAAACCAACACATCATCTGAGAATCTTCTTTCTCATTCATCCTCCCAAATATAGTGAACCTTCCATTGATTGCAACTCTTAAAATTGCTCTATTTCTTTTCCCTCTACTATCACTGCCATAATTTACCCCTCACCTAAGGATGGATTCGAGGTCAGTGAAAACTAAATAAAACACTGTTACTGAGATCATGTTCCTTGAGAACATGTAAATCTAATTGAGTTTCTTCATAATTAAAAATTCTTCACTGGCTTCCCATTACTTACATGATGAAATCCAAACTGCCATAGCACACAAGGCCTTCATGACATGCTTACTGCTGTGGCCTCAACCACCACTTTGTTCTAGAAATAATCAATTACATGTACTTTCCCAGATACATCACTTTGCTTCACGATCCAAGCCTTTGCACATGCTGTTCCCTCTATCCAGGATCGCCATTTCCCTCCCTGTCCAATATCTGAACAACACTCAGTGCTTGCTTACACCTCAGCTCCTTCAGGAAGTCCTCCTTCACCAGTATTTTCTATGCAGCACACTTCATTTTCATCGTTTGCTTATCTGCTATTCCAAACTATGGGGCTGTAGGCAACAGGATCTGTCTTATTTAGTAATCTTCCCACAGAAGGAATATGCATCTAGCTCTTTGGTGACAATAAAAATAGTTACATAGCTAAGTTTAAAATAAAAGAAAGGGCACCTAGGTGGTGCAGTCAGTTAAGTGTGCGACTCTTGGTTTTGGTTCAGGTCACGACCTTGGGGTTGTGAGACTGAGCCCCCGAGTCAGGCTCTACACTCAGCACAAAGCTGGCTTGAGATTCTCCCTCTCCTTCTGTCATACCCCCGCCCCCCAAGTGTGCTCTCTCTAAAATAAATAAACCTAAAAAAAAGACGAATAAAATAAAATAAGTATTTAAAAAAGTTATTCTGGAGTGAAAACATCCTCTTTGAAAATTTGTACCTGGGCTGTTGACTGCTGGGTAGCCTGATCATACCTAATAGATACTCAAATATTTTTTACAATGAAGAAAAATGAAGAGAGTTTCATCTCATTTTTCTTCCAGGGTAGGTATCTGTCGATAAAAGGCAGACATCAATAAAAGAGGGGCTTGGAGGATCAATCCAAAAAGCAAGTAATCTGTAAATAATCCAGAAATGGACACTTATCTCCACTGCCACACACCCTCCCTTCCCAGCAACTGAGCAAATTAATCACTTACAAGTCAGGCTAAGTGGTCCTCAGTCACAGTGGCCCAACACTACCATAGAAATAATTTTCATTCTGGTATAAAAATGTCAGCTTTTTTGGAAGAAAAGCAGATACCATAAACTGTTCAAAGTCTTCCTTAAACATTTTTTTTTTTGGAGCAATTTTTACTTCTTCAGAAAAATTACATAAATAGCAAACCACCTCTTATAAAGGGCCCATCCTATAAACTTTTACCAGGTCCGATTCATGTTTGTAATCATATTTATAAGCAAATATATATATATATATATAAATATTAAATATATATATTAAATCCATAGTTCACAATCTACATGATTAAAATGATGCCAATCTTGCAAATTAAAATAAAATATTCTTTCCCAGTAAGGAATTTTTTTTTTTCTGGATCATAGTTCTGTGTTTGGTTTTAAGAAGATGCCTAAAAGGATGAACAGTGTCAATACTTTCTCATTTACTGCAGTAGCATTAGTTCTGTGTAAAAGAAAAATGATCACTTACCTTTTGACGCTGTCAAAATAGTACTTAACAATTATTGTGCTATACCTGCTTTCTAGAATAAGTAGATTAGACTAGCTGCCAAAGGATCATTGCTTTTCTCATTTGTCTAATGACAAGAATTAGGTTTTACAATTCATAAATGATCAGAATTCCCAGCAATCTACAGACTTTTTAAAATATCAAGCCATACACATTGAAGTGGTATCAACTTTTGATTCTCAAGAATCAAAATAAACTGATAAATTGTGACACTAAAAAGCACCAAAGGCTAAATAAAGCTCTATAATTAAACTAATAAATAATTATAAATCCAATTCTAAGAATTACAAATGTGCTGCTATTCAAAAGCACATTCGTTCCCATTGAAAAACCCTTTCCTTTTCTCTTTATAGCTGAAAATTAAAATCTTTATAACACAACCAAAAGACTTCGTGTAAATCAAATAAGCAATTTTGTTTTGTGCTAACCATCGTAAATTATAAGGAAATATAACCATGGTTAAACAGTAATATCACTATTATTATATTTTATATTATAATAATAATTTTAAAATAGAATTAAAATACAAAACACATTCAAGCACAAACAATGGAGACACATATTTTTATACTTAGAGAATATAAAAGTCACCTTTCACTCATGAGTTCATCTGAAACTTTTTGCTCTTCATAGTCCATTTTGTCCTTATTGGTCTGGCTTATTTCCTCACTTTCTAAAACTACTCCTTCATCTTGGATTTTTGGCCCTTGTCTAATTATTTTCAATTTCCTTTTTTTGACTTTGTTCTTGGTAAACTCTTGATATTGGTAAGCTCTGTCATTGTCCATGTCCTGATCTCTACAACCTTCAAGGGGCTGGGCCATGGTCCGTTTGTTAGAGATGTCCTGTGGGAGGTCCACTGCCATGCGTTTTACCTTTCTCCTTCTGCGCAGAGTTCTGTTCCCAAGGTTGTCCACAGTAAAATCCGATTCGTGCCATAGAGGTCTTTTCCCCCGTACGTTATTGTTTAAGTTTGATGATGGCCTGCGCTTAGCCACTAACATTTGGTCATCAGAGTCACTATGATCTTTTTTATTATTATTGTGATTCTCTCTGTAGTCCTTGCTTGGTTCTTCTAAACTAGAATCAGTGCCTTCACTTAAGCAGTGGCCAGGCTCCCACGGGTGATGAACATTATACGACCTTCGTTTTCTCCCTCTCCGTTTCCTTGCCTGGCGTTTCAGAGGACAAGACATGCTTCGAGAATGATCACCAGTTTCAGCAAATCCACCTCGAGCTTGCTCTGAGCTCTCCTCCAATGCGGAGACAAGATCATGAACCAGTTCTTCCATGGTTCGACTGAAATGCCTACATTTTTAAAGAAAGAAAGAAAAATTAAAGAAATCAGTATTAACCTAGTTTATTACAGCAGACAATTCACTCTAAGTCTAAAATTAATAGTTATTATAAAGAAATGTTTAAAAGCGATTTTTCTATCCAAGATATCAGTTTTAAATATTCTGACTCATTTTTAAGCTCCTTCTTTTTGTATAAGTTCTTTCATTAAACATAGGAATTACTTCAAGATACAGTAAGCATAATATCAGCAATGAAATATCCCAGTAATTTCATTTTTCCTGTGTAATTATGGAAGTTATTTTTGCTAAATCATTGTTCATTAGTTTATTCCTGCCCTTTCCCTAGTTTTCCTAGAACAGATACAGAACTTTCTCAATCCTTCTTCCAACTACCCCCTCCCCGCCAACGATTTCTAAATGAAGAAGGAAGCTGTACAATTCTCTACTCACCACATGGTCTACCCAGTCACTACTATGATATATGAGGGAGATGGAAAGATTGACAGGTACTTTCAAAATTTGTTGTAATATATGTAAAAAAAGAGTTTAACCAGATACTAGACATATATTTAGGCCACACTAATCTCATAACTCAGTCAAGCAGAAAGTATGTTCTTATTAAAACTGGAGCCTCGTTGGTCTAAAATGGCCCATCATTTTTCTTATAATTCATTCTGAGACAATCTCTTGGCTTTTTTTTTTTTTTTTTGTAAAAAGAGGAGTGCCTGGGTGGCTCAGTCGTTAAGCGGCTGCCTTCGGCTCAGGTCATGATCCCAAGGTCCTGGGATCCAGCCCCACATCGGGCTCCCTGCTCAGTGGGAAGCTTGCTTCTCCCTCTCCCACTCCCCCTGCTTGTGTTCCCTCTCTTGCTGTGTTTCTCTCTGTCAAATAAACAAATTAAAAAAAAAAAAAAGAAACAAAAACCATTGAACTACGTATGTTACCAGTGAAAAAAATTATCTACTTGTCAGTTAGGATAAAAAGCATTCTTTAGGAAAATTATACTGACCCTTTCTAAACACAACTCCCCAAAATTCTAAATCAGTTGGTGATGGGGCGCCCAAAATTTTTTTTAATTTTTAAACATTATAGGTAATTCAAATATGTATCTTTCTTCTAAAGATCATGAACAATCATTTCTGAGTTCTAGAAGCACCTAGGGATCAAAATATTCTCAACTACAGAGGTCTATATAATTTCCAAGTCTACAGAAGGTGTAGACACTTTTCTGTAAAGGGACAAATAGTAAACATTTTAGGCTTTGCAGTCCATTAGGTCTCTGTCATAACCATTCAACTTCAGCCACTGTAAGGTGAAAATAGCCCTAGGTGAGACATAAATGAATAGGTATGGCTATGTTCTAATAAAATTTTATTTACAAAACGAAGTGATGGCTGGCCATAGTTTGCTGACCCCTGGTTTATATAGTCTGTACCATCTATAATTTTAGGCATTTGCAAGTTCCCTATAACAAATTTAAACTTTGTCTTTTCATTTTAACAACCTGAGAACAAACACACATTGTAATTCAACTGGATTTACTACTTATAAGGTGATGTACACATACAGCTTCTAATACAAGTACTTACTATGTGCTATGCCCATTTTTAAGTGTTTTACATGCATTAGCTCATTTCATTCTCACATAATAACCCTATAAGGTGGTATATGAGATACACAGAAACAGAGACGTTAAGGGCAATTTGCCCAAAGTGACACACCTAGGAAATGGTAGAAACAGGTTTCAAACTCCAGCAATCTGGTTCTGGAGCCTGAATGCTCAACGAAGTACAGCCAAGAACAGAATTCTAGTACTACACAATTCCAGTACCCAGTTCTCATTTTTGTTATGAGTGTTGTAGCAGCAGGTGGTACTATTTTAATTGTTCAGACAGATTTAATATACATCTATGTAAAGTCAAATGACTCACAGTTAGGCATTATTTTCTTTTGAACAGAAAATAGGAATGGAAGACCTGAATCAACGCAAGGCACAGGGCAGTAAAAGTGGTGGAGGTACGCTGAATCTGAAGAACCAGTGCTGTAGCCATCAGTAAAATGTACACTGTAAGCAAATAACTAAATGGAGACAGTGTCTCATTTAATGTGGGTTTGTATTTTCCAGATCTCCTTCGGCATTCTGAATGAATAAAACCTATACGGACACACATTTTAAAAAAAAATGTGGCGATTCGAATATATATTTTAAACAAACTCTACAGAACCACTAAAAGGGTCCTATATGTTACTCAGGTTTCAGATCTTTGCATTTGATTATAAGAAATATGCGTCTGGGGCGCCTGAGTGGCTCAGTTGGTTAAGGGACTGCCTTCGGCTCAGGTCATGATCCTGGAGTCCCTGGATCAAGTCCCGCATCGGGCTCCCTGCTCGGCAGGGAGCCTGCTTCTGCCTCTGACCCTCCCCCCTCTCATGAGCTCTCTCTCTCTCATTCTCTCTGTCTCAAATAAATAAATAAAAAATCTTAAAAAAAAAAAAGAAATATGCGTCTAATAGGAATTAGCATTAAGCCAAAAAAAGGGCTACAGTTCTGACTACGTTGATCCAAATGGGTCTTTTCTCCATTACCTCTATGTTAATAATCACCCTTTTGTTTTCCTTTTATTACAAAAAATATTTTGTTCATTTCCTTTAATACTATTTCTTTGGAAGAAATGTAGTCCGAAAGACCTATTATCTCTGAATATAATACTGCACCTTTAATAAAATTCACTGGAAGCCACTTTAACATGTATTATAATAAAGATCCTTTGTCTAAAAGAAGACTCAGTATCATCCGGTTCTCAAGTAACTTACTTTTTGAAGACTTAGTTTTCTTATCAATGGGTGAATGACTAGGTCTAAATATTAATGTGAAATTAACTCAATGCATGATTATAATCTCCAACTAAAATTGCAGGTTACTTCGGAAGTTATAATCTAGTACTTTACATTAGAAAAGAAAATGTGGTGGTCCTAACATTAGATAAGGGTTAGCAATCAGATTCAATCCATTGAAATTTATCTTCAATTAATTTCATTTAAAAAATATTGCTGTAACAAACATAGCTTAGGAAAATATAACTCATGGTATTACTAACAATGTATGCCAAACTTTTTATTTTATTTTACTTTATTTATTTATGTGACAGAGATAGACACAGCGAGAGAGGGAACACAAGCAGGGGGAGTGGGAGAAGGAGAAGCAGGCTTCCCATGGAGCAGGGCGCTGGATGCGGGGCTCGATCCCAGGACCCAGGGATCATGACCTGAGCTGAAGGCAGACGCTTAATGACTGAGCCACCCAGGTGCCCCTGTAAGCAAAACTTCTTTATAACATCATTAAAATTGTCACCTTACTTGATTTTATACTGTTTTTTTTTTTTTGAGAAAATAAAATACCTTAAAAAACTTTTAACCAGAAGAACCCAATTTATTCCATGATGTTACTCAAATAGGAATCAGATATGACTATCAAGTAAAACAATTACTTTAAAAAGACTTCTTGGGGCACCTGGGTGGTTTGGTTGGTTAAGTGTCTGACTCTTGATTTTGGCTCAGGTCATGATCTCACAATCAGAGTTGTGAGATACAGCCCCATGTCTGGCTCCATGCTGGGTGTGGAGCCTGTTTGAGATATTCTCTCTCCCCCCGCCCCCAACTCTCTCTCAAAAAAAAGAAAGAAAAAGACTTCTTAAAAACCCCATAAAAACACACACAAAAAATACATTTAACATACGTGCCATTCAGAGTTCAAACCACTTTTTTCCCCTTCAGTTTCAACTAACCAGACTCCTTCAAGCCAAAACCCCTGTTAATGAGCCAATAATATTAGAGTCAGTCAGTCAAGCTGCTTCACTTATATCTCTCAGGGAAAACTGGCATCAACTGGCCTCACAGAAATAAAGTCATTATAGGGGACCATCACATGATCAATAGCTCATTTATTTCCTTGGCAGTAACACTGAAAATCATTGTATGGAAACACTTTATCTTCAAGATATTTTCTTAAATAAGGTCTTTCCTATTTAAGAGGAAACCTGGAAATATATAACTTTCTTGTATAAAAACCTGTGTTTATTAAACATTCATACTTGTAAAGTTTAAATTATAGTAAAATTAAGTGAATTACCACTTAGTTAATTTGAATAATAGTCACATTTATAAAACAATTTCTCTTCATTTGGAATTCAATGGAAATGATATCTTTTGAGAATAGTTTGCATTGGGTATAATATCTAAGATAGCCGTTAACTAACGGCTTTCTTAAAATACTCAAAATGAATAGAATTATAGTCCCACTATCTATATAAAGTTGGATTCTGTAAAAGGAAATGACCTGAGTAGACAGGCATTTTGGTTTTGTGTAGGCGGTAGTACGTTACGTAAAGTTTCTGGTTCAAGAAAGAAGACTCAGGAAGCTGCCTTAGTCCAAACTTACTGTTCATATGTTCACAAAGGACTGGCAGTTGACTGACAAACCAAGGACTCTCAAATAGCAGTCAACAATGTATAAGCAGGCATGGTAGGAGATGAAGCCCAAGAAAGCCAAAACTGATCCCCCCCAATAACTAACAGCTAACTACTCTATCAACAACTATTACTTTTTGAAGACTCTCTTAGCAATAACTACTATTCCTAAGAGGATAAAATATAGCAACTACAGAAAAATTAGGGAACAATTTCTTTGCCTGGACAATGACAAAAATAATTACATAATAAGACGACAGATATGTGTGTCTACTGAAGAAACCCAACAAGTTCATTAAAAACAAAAATATTTCAGATATAACAAAAAAGGTAATTGACTACAACTGTCAAATATCCAGATAAGGAAAAAGAAATCAAATATTCTTTATCACCTAGTACATGGTAAAATTCTCATCTTCATCTCTGTAAAACACAGATTATTTCTTCTACAAAGTTAAGTAACTCTAGCAGTGGAGTGCTAAAACGAAGTTAAATGTTGCTAAATACCATTGCTTAACTGGCTTTTAAAAATTTAAGGAAATA